TTTGCGTTTTGGTTGCGACAGCCCAGACAGGGGAAGCATAGGAAAGCATGGGTCGTATCATTGCTTTATCAAGGTGAATAGCAACATGTAGTTGTAGGGGGGTTGATTTTCTCAGAACCGGATATAATTGATGGACTCTACTAGTCGTTAGCGCTATTCGGTGTTTTATATTTTGTCGCCATGTAAGCCTTATATCAATCCTTGGGATTGGTATATGAGATTTGGAGAGACATCTGGTCTACGAAGGGTAAATATTTTTGCCTTGCTCTTATTAGGATTTATTTCAATGAGCCATTTTTTGGCCCTGTTGCAAAATAATGTAAGGTGATGCTGCAGATCATTCACGGCAGATTGAAGATTGCAATTTGAGGAGTAATGTACTGTCTCATTAGCAAATAGAGATATTGCGGTATTTTGAGGTATATTCGAAGTGTAGACATTACATAAAGTGGTGGAGAGGGTGGATCCTTGAGGTACTCCTGCTTTGATGGTGAAAGGTGTGGAGAGAGCCCCGGGGAGACGCACAGAAAATGTTCGGTTGGAAAGAAAACTTTCAATAATTCGTGAAAGATATAGTGGAGTTTGAACACTGCGCAGTTTGAAAGTTAACCCTGAGTGCCAAACGGTATCGAAAGCTTTAGCTACCTCTAGAAAAACTGCTGCGGTATGCTTATGATTATGAAATCCTTCGATATCTTCAGTTAGGAGTAAGTTTTGATGATACGTGGACAAAAGGGGTTGGAATCCAAACTGATGAGGTGGTATGGCATTGACTGCGCTGAGATATGAATTTAGCCTAGAGAGTATACATTTTTCAAAGAGCTTTCCCATTGTGGGTAGCAAACTAATCGGGCGATCGCTAGTTGGATGATTTTGATCTTTCCCTGGCTTTAGAGCGGGAATAATGTGGGCGTGTTTCCATTTATCAGGGAAGAACGATTGTCTCAAAGCGGCATTAAATGTTGCTGTAATATGTGCGATTACTTTTATTGGAAGGCGTGTTAGTAAAAAAAGTTCATATTAGATCATGACCATTTGATAATTTCGGGGATGCTATTGAAAGATACTTGATGATTTCTGATGGTGAAATAAATTTAGGGCATTCAGGAACCATTACTTCTGGTCGTGCAATTTCTTCTTCAATACAATTATCGTGGTGCAAATTTTGAGAAGTGTAAGAAGTAAAGGTTGTTGCAAAATAATTACCTAACGTATCGCATTTATTGTAAGGAGAAGCTGCTTCTCCAGTTAGAGTAACAAAGATGGGTAGGTTGATAGGTTTGCGCAAAAGACGTCTGGTTATATTCCACAGTGTATGATCATATGAGTTTGCCGTTGGTGTTGAAGATGAACCTTTCGGCGTGGATGGACGCCAAAAGGTTTTCACAATTTTAGCTAGGAGGTTTAAATAAGATTTTAAGAGAGGAGATCGATGTCTCAACCAGTGATTACGAATATATCGTTTATACTCGATTAGTTTCTTTACTACAGGTGGTATTGCTGGAAGCGAAGTGCGTTGGTGGGCTGTCGGGGCCGTTAAGTCAAGGGCATCTAATATAGTATGAGTGAGTCAATGGCGCTGTCGATTTCCTGCGTAGTACGGAGTAATGCCAGTGGAGGTAGAAGATGTGCAACAAGCGTCTTATAATATTTCCAGTTGACATTTCGTAAATGATAACGCTGAGCGGGGCGAATTTCTTCTGGGGTTGTGTCGAGTGAGAAAACTACGGGGCGATAATCGAATTGCAGGGCGATATGAGTCTCGACTAGAATGTTACAACTAAAGTAGTTAAAAACGCCGAAATCTAGTATATCAGCTTGCACTGACACGTGGTAGGGATAGTAGCTGGGTGTATCAGGGGCATGTACAGCCAAATTTAATTTTTGTGTGTCAGAAAACATAAGATTACCAGCAGGGTAGTTTAGTCTACTTTCCCAAGCAACGTGTTTGCATTCCAATCACCGATCACTAATGTTGGTTGACGGGAGCAAAATAAGGTATCAGTATCACCTGATCTGTATGGAATATTAAGGGGTTTGGAGTGATTATTGTGGGATTGGCATTGAAGTGATTATTTGGGTAGATTAACATTTCTGCTAAATAGCCACACTATTATTTTCGAAAGTATTACTTATATTTAAAGGTAGCTGACGATGTGTTACGGAATTTTTTTACAAATATGGCGACCCCTCCGCTGTACCGTTTTCGCGGTAGGTCGTAGCGATATAAAACATGACCGGGAATATAAATTTTCATCGAAGGGCGAAGATGTGTTTCCTTAATGCAAGCTACTTGTATTTTATTATTATGCCAAAAGTGGGCCAGCATATGAATATTAGGTTTAACACCTTTTGCATTCCATGAAATAAGACGGAGTGAGGAATGAGTGGCACTATTTATAGGCATGGTTTTGTTGTTAATATAATTTTATTGATTGGAGGATGGAGTTGGTAAGCAAAGGAATAATTTGACTTAGAAGTTTGGAGAAGAAATGTTCTACCTGTTGGGTGATAAATTGTTTCAAATGGAAGGGCTGCCCATTGGGCTGTACATGTGCTGTTTGAATACATCTGAATATAGCGGCATTTGGTTTGGTAATGATGGCTGTGGAATTCTCCGGCAGGTGGGATATGGTTCTTGATGCATTGTGATAGGAATGGAAGGGGAAGGATGAGGATATGCTTCAGGGGCAGCCCTTGTAGGGGTTGATGAATGTTCATGACGGGGTATCGCTGATTGTGCGAATTGTTGTCCGATGGGGTAGCGGAACGGGAGTGATTTTCTCTGGAGAAGTTTTTGATAAATTTCACAGTCGCGACTAGAGGACCGATGAGCTTTTCCGCAGAGTGAACACTGGTATCAGTCCTAGAACATTCTGCCGTGGCGTGCGGCCCTGCACATTTGCGGGGCGAATTACCACAGTTCTTTCTTGTGTGTCCTAATATCTGACAACCTCGACACTGCAGTGGCCCGGGTCTATGACGACGCTCTTCAACCGTGATTATAGTATTGAACAGTTCTTGTAGTTCATATATTGCCCTGCTTTCTGAGTATTTTGTAAGAGTAACTGCACATAAAGGCCAAGGTTTACGATTAGAATCAGTCAGTCTGATAACCGTTATTACTCGTAAATTTTTGTTTACTAGTTCTTGATGTATTTCTTCCTCGTATTAGGATGTTGGGTCATTTCGTAGCACCACAGAAATAGTATTCTTTGTTGGGTCCCTGTAGGTATGATAGTACAGTCGTTTCGTTGACAAGTGCTTACGAAGTAAAGTAAAGTCTTCGTTCTGATTTCAGTATAAGGTCCTCTGATTTTAGTAACAACAATTTCATGCTTAAGCAATTCTTTAATTTTTTGCGAGAGTACCGAATGAACAGATGGATTATGAATAATGATTGGTGGTATCTTAATCGGTTTTGAGGAGGGAGAGTCGATGTTTGAGGCACCTTGCTCTGGGACGGGGTCGGGGTCAGGATCAAGAGTGGAATATCTATTGCCGGTTGGGATGTTATATAGAGGCACATTTGCACTATAAGGCATGATGGATCCCTGTACATACGAAGTTTGGTTTTATACCCTGCATCTTGCAATCTGGGGCGCTTAAGAAACGGCGCTGTACTTATCTGTGGAGACGGTTGAGAATATCCCACGGGTGGTGTAGACAGCTGGGTGAAGGATGAATTCACAAGTTGGCTCGCTGATTATAGCTGATGCTCTTGCTGCTGCTGCTGGTGCTGTAGGTGATTAATTAGATGCGGTTCCGTATAATGATAGTCAAGTGCGTATAGAGCTGACGACACCACATCTAAGCGGGGAGGAAATGATGCATTCGCGTATTCCGCAATCCTTGGATTGAACATTTAACAAAGATCGCCCTAAGTGGCACGAGAAGGCCCGTCGCCGGGGGGCTAGAACACCTCGTGCTGATATTTCTCGTAATAAACACTTATTAGAATGCACTGCACTGCACAGAGATATTTAAACAAGTCACTCGCTTGCTGAACGGCCGTAACACGGCCCTGCTGGGGCACGTCTTATCACTGGTCACAGTCGAGGTACGAGCGATATAAGCAGCGGAAGCCAAGCGTAGAATGAGAAGCGTTCTCGGACGCATTAAAAGACTCACCTGTAGCAGCGTCTCCTCGCTTCTCTCGGGGCACAGGGCCGCTGCCAGCGCCATTAACAGCACGTCGGCGACCCTGCGCCTGCCTCTCGGGGGGTGCCACATTCGGTCCAGCGCCAAGGGGTCGCTATAGACCGACCGCGGGTCGCTATAGACCGACCGCAGGACGCTATAGACCGACCGCGGGACGCTATAGACCGACCGCGGGTCGCTATAGACCGACCTGCGTCCTTTACGCGGACTTCACAGAACCCCCTGTACTACGTTGCTTGGATCACTCAAAAGCTGAAGTACAGGAGGTCAAACCCAATTTTCGGTTTTATTACCTTTTCTTTACGTGAATTTTAAAGTACTTTAAGATGTTAATTATAAAAAAAGCGTTCTTGAGCATCGAAATTAGCACTTCATGCAATGTTGAAGAAACAGGATCTGAGTCAATAACAAGCTCAAGTCGATTCCATGCCGTGATCGTTAGTTGAACTAAATTATGACACAATGATTGAATTTGAAATACACTACGTTGCGACCACGCCGAATGTCTGTCAGTTTATATTTTATTTGTACTAAAACAAAATAAAAGGAAATTGATTAATTTTAGGATAAAATTTAGGTTTAGCGTTTGAATATTGGGTGAGACGACTGAGAGAGAAAACGAAACTAACTTCTTGGTTAAATAAGTTAATTATTAAACTCGTTGGCTTATCTAAAACAGGTTTAAATTTAAGATTTGATGAAAACTATTAGATTAATGGAACACACTATAGATTAATGAAAATGTAAACGAAGTAGTTCAAGAGTGAAGAGGCAATCCTAGCACAGACTCGACAAAGGTCGATGTGACAGCCCTGCTCAGGGTGGTTGTATTCTTGTGATGTATGTCTGTTCATTTATCATGTAGCAGCTGTCAGTTCTTAGGAAATAGTAGCGTCAAGAGCTAATAGTCATAATTTCCGGTGTTATGGATTTTGTAACAACGTTTTGTAACAACGTTTTGTAACATTCTTGTCTCCTGGTTCTTAGAGTTGACAACCCGTGACGCTTAATTTTTTTCTAAGCCTGGATGTCTGCGCTTTAAAGAAATTTCAAAACTATTGCCTCAAATTTAAGGAAGCTTGATATTTTGATATTGTACGTTGTATGTTGCAAAACTAGTTAAATATATGAAAAATATAAAATTCATTTTTGAGTATGAATGAGTTGGTAACATATTTCAGAATCAATATGAGATAGTGGAAAAAATACGTGTTGAAATATTTCGTGTAAGGTGGTTTAACAATTAAAGAGAAGCTTTACTGAATCCAATTGATTCATTACATAGACAAAAAGAAAGTGTTCAGACCCAAAGACTTGGCCATGTTTCTCTATGCAGGTCGACACGCTGAGACCGAATCCGAATCCAAAATTTCGCCTACATATTCCAGTTATTTACTACGCAAAAAACACCGTGAAATTTGAAATTTACGATTTCATGGTGGAATTTTACTTGCTAATGCATGCGATTGATTGCAAAATTAAATTTCTCAGAGGCGCGATAATCAACAACGCACGAACTTATATTTGATTGGTCCCAAGGAGGGTTTACAATAGCTGATCTAGAGGCTTGGTGTTAAATTTAAAAATGCGAACGCATAAATGAAGAAACAATCAAAGTAATGTAAATAGCAGTAATAAAATATTTCGTTTTGTTCCTGTAAGTTGAAGTTATATATGTATTTCTGTAAAAATTCTGGAAAAGGTGAAACTCTTCAAGCTACATGTGGTCTGCGAAATCCAGCTTTAGAGGTGAGAGAGAACAAAGAAAATTATGAAACATGATCTACACATATATTAAAACTAGTAGGGTACGTAGAGAAGTCGAAAATTATATTTTGCCAATGAAAGTATAACGGAGAATTTAATATTATGGAGTTACAAGTTATATTTGCCGTGAATGTTACGCAACTCTAAATCCGTAGCTGTTCTGCAGGTACACGCTATCTGCTTGTCTGCGTTAGAACGTGATTTGCACAACATCTCTGCATAAAAGTAACCTAACAATCATGAGAAACGTCACACATTTAACTCTTTATACGTAGGACATTCAATAACACAGCCACACAGAAAAAAACTTGTGTTCGTGTCTGGGGATCAAACCAGGTTTTCTAAATGCATGTTTTTGTGGTCGCTAAATCCGAATCTGGTGTCCATTCCACTCCATCACATCAGGTTTTTGACATAACCTAACATAAAGATATTTTAACCGAGGGACAGACCATGTTACCTATATGTTTTTGGAGTCACTTTCCATTGTCAGAAGTCTTAAAAAGATCATCCTACACACGATCCTGACGATCCAGATAAGTTATACAGAGTATATCGAGTCCCGTATTGAAGGCAACAGAAAAAAAACTATATTTATCCGTTTGTAATATAATTTGTTATGAAATATAATTTATAAGACATCATGTGAAATACATGTACTCATAAATGCAATAATGTGAATTAATGTCAATATTAACGACGTATGCAACGAGTAATGTTTTTGTAATTTTTGTGTTCTTTTAACAAGAATTTTACTCAAGTTAAGAAGTAACAAGATTTATTCAATTAGTTGTTAGCAGGGCCCGGCAATAGACATTTTTCTGTTGAAAATTTACAGTCTTCCTGTGCAAGATTACAATACTTTCTCTTCTTATGAACTAAGGGTGAGAAAGTAAAAACATAGAATAAAATTAGTGTGTAATTTAAATGTTATTTATTGCAGTTATCGAGCCTGGTACTAACATGATTAGAAAGATAGATAAAAGAAATGGGATCATTCAATTTTTCAATATGCCTTTTATAATATTTATGAAATCCTAAAAGTTCGGACCCAATGATGATGTATGTAGTTGGTATTATGAGTCCCGCGTTCCACAATCCTTCTGGTTTCCAAGGAACGTTTACGTGGCAGAAATAACAAGAAATGTTTTTACAACGCGTGAAAGTCACAATAAATGTTTTTTTCATTTATTCAATTTTCAGGTCTTTTGATTTTTGATTTTCCAGTAAAAAGCCACTGTACATATGCAGCCAGTTCGTAGACATCCAATCCCCTCTTTTCCAAAGTCTCTACGAATGTTCTGTACTCTCGAAAGCTCATCACCTTCTTTAAAATGACCTGTGAACAAAGTTTGAATTATTTGAATACGTAGAGCAACTATTGTAATATAACTATTTACAGTAGTCATTACAGTAAATTGATTATATTTTGAAAAGTGCAACATTGTACTAAGATTATAATAATATTTTCTTTTTTCACTTGAAATATTTTCCATTATGGATTTATTTATCAATTTTTTTCTGTATCCAACGAATAGCATGATACAATATAATAACACAAAATGAAAACAGTAGAACATTTGCAAATCAAAGGTTTTCCTGCCCTTTGGTAAAAATGTTTACTTGGGGCAAAAATGGCGAAATTTCCATTTTTCAAGAATTTGTGAGGTCTGCGAAGACTGCTACAATAAATAGACAGTTTAATTTAAAATCACATGTCGTAAAATCTAATTAATACTCAAATTACTATTTAAATTAATAGCATATGATACATCATTTATTTCTGTTTTTACGGCCTTTATGATCTTTATGATTTTAAGAAAACTACGTAGTTTCATTTAAAAAATCTTAGACAATTAATTTTCTCGAAAAATAAAAATATTTCAAACACTATCTCAACGGCATATTACTTTCCCCATGATTTTTCAATGTTGAGCGAAAGCTGCACTTCTATAACGTGAACCGTTTAGAATTTGTGATGGAGGCCCGTAGTTCGTTGGTCATCTTGTTTATGAGATTCAATTACTTAACCGGAATATACTCATCAACACATTCCTTAAATTCTCTGCTGGCTGCGTCTGCGAGAAGGCTCACCTGGCCGTGCTCTCCGACCAGCAAGTCCACGAACTTCCGGAAGGGTTCGCTTTCCTGCATCTTTTTGTGGTACAGCTTCTGGAGTTCCGCGGCAGGCATAATTTTCTTCAGCTCCTCAAAAACCTCTCGCAGATCCTTTGGCGGTGCCTGAAACTAAGGAGACCTCAGTTCTAAAAATGTTAAACCAAAATGACATTCCAAGAAATCTCAACACGTCACCTTCCAAATTTATTATCACTCGAAATTGCATTGATTTAAAAAAAGATCTACCTTGATAGACCTTTAATAAAAACTAAAATCAACTTTTTCATTTTCATTTACGAAAACTAGATCTCTGTTATTTTTTTAGAACAAAAAAAAGAGGTCATAGATATGAGTAAATACAGTATGGAAGTTTCAACCTGTGAGACCTCCCTTTTAACTACCGGCTCCACTTACGGGAATTATTCTTGGTTCAAGCCTATTATTTTGACAGCTTCTAAATAAACTGCTCATCGTGGGACTACAAATCAGTTGTACATCGTTTTTTTAAATATATTCTCCCAACAGTGAGTTGAATCAAATACCAATTAGTGTCTTAGGAGTGTCAGTTCGCTGAGAGCAGTTGGAAGTCACAGTTTTCATGAGTGATTTAGTTTGTTCCGAAAATAAGCTTAATAATTTTAATGTTATACTTTATTATCTAATTACTTCGTCTACAGATTAGCAAGCATCCTAATTTTCTTGCTAAAAATGTAACTTGTGTACATGCTTGCCACATCTGGCACATGGTGTTATTACTTGTCTCCTTTGTATTTGATAAACATAGTCTTTTAATTTAGTAGTCCTAAAGAACTTAAGAAAAAATTACATCGATATAATTTTATAAAAATAAGTGTTTGCTATTTATAATTAGCTACTTGGAGGAAAGTGTAAAATGACCCGTGATAGACAGCAACAAAGATATTACAAAATTTGATCATTAGGAGCAAGTGCATTAATAAAATAAGGAAGCGCGAGCATTTCCTTCCTACCCCGCCGAGGAGAGGCTGGAGCGAAGGGCGGGGAGGAGGCGAAGGGGGGGGAGCGAAGGGCGGGGAGAGCGAAAAGGCGGGGGATGGCGAAGCGGGAGACGAAGAGGCGGAGGCGAGGAGCGGGGAGGGGGCCGAAGAGGCGGGGTGGGGACGAAGAGGCGGGAGGGCGAAGAGGGGGGAGGCGAGAGCGGGGAGGGGCGAGAGGCGGGGGGGGGCGAGAGCGGGGAGGGCCGAGAGGCGGAGGGGACGAAGAGCTGTAGCGAGGAAGCGGGACCGAGGAGCGGGTGCCGAGGACGGGGGCCGAGGAGGGCTGGCGGAGCCGAGGAGGCGGGCCAAAGATGCGGCGGAGAGCGCGGGGCGGGAGAGGAGGGCGGGGCGGGCGGCGGGATGCGGGAGGGCGGGTGCCGGGGCCGAGGAGGCAGGGGGCCGAGGAGGCAGGGGGCCGAGGATGTCGGGGCGAGGAGGCGGGCCCGAGGAGGTCGGGCGAGGAGGCGGGGGCGGGGAGTACCTCCTGGTCTCCGTTGGTGGCGATGGAGGCCCGCTGTCGCTTGCGCGCGCGCCGCCGCGAGCGCCGGTAGACCAGCTCCAGCTTCTCTATGAAGATGCGCAGCGTGGAGCGCAGCCCCACGCCCTCCTCCGCCAGCAGCTCGCTCAGCTGCGCAGCCCACGCGCTCTTTGCCCGATCGCTCTACTTAACGGCTGCATTTTATTACAGCAAAATTAACCATCTTTTTACTTCCATTTCAACAGAGTGACACTTCAAGGACTTGAGCTGGGAGGACAGTGACATCCAATCGGAGGGTTCCTTACAACTTGAATTTTTGGTATTGAAGATCCCGACTGGCAATGTACCTCACTCCTCCCAGCTCAGGATCGTGAAGTGCCGCTCTGTTTAAATCGGCGTACAGCCAGATGACGCCATTTCTTTATTTCAAACTCGTTGAAGTGCCATGGGTTGAAGTACCACTGTCAAATAATTGACAGTTTATGCAGCTATTCAAATTTAAGCACCTATCAATACAATATTATTTCGATTTTGTAATCTTGTGTGGATTGACCTGCTAGTTTTTCAGGATTTACCTGCTCACTCGCAATTTATGCACACTCTACAAAGCCACGTACTGGCGACAGGCCTCCCGAAGGTCCTGCACGTCTCGATGAGCATCACTCTACGCGAAACCTTTCCTCTAATGATGTCCATGTAAAGTTGTGACCTTTTTGTAATGACTTTAAATCAAAATTTCAATAATAATGATATTAAAATAGTTGAAATTCAAGTGCCCTTGTACTACATTCTTATGAATTCGGTTTCATAAAATTAATATTTACGAATGCAACGTTTATACATATTGATTTTTATATACATCTTATTAACATTATTTATATATACATACGTATTTATATACTTTCATGAATACACTTTTTTTCGTCAAAATTCTGCTTACTCTATGAATCTGTCCCCCTAAGCAGCTGTTTATGTCGTATATGCACATTATAACCTAACCTTCTTAAACTGTATCATTAATGCTGTAGGCATTATTGTAAAGTTCTTACGACAGTGCTGTACATATTTACAATGCAAAACAATGTAATCCATATTTCTCTGAAGCACAACTTCGTTTATTATATCCTTGTTCCGGCAAAATGCAGAAATAAAGAAACGTATCTTCGTATAAGTGTCACGTAAAAATATGTACTCAGTCGATTGTGTTATCAGTAACAATTTTTCGAAGCCGTTTGTACAGCGTTCCTTGACATAGAATGAAAATACTCGTAGAATATTTGATAAGGAATGATACAATGTGGCGAGGTCACAGATAGTATGCATGTGCATACATTTCAGGTTGTTACGTAAGTGGTTGTGACAGGTGGCTCAGAAAGGCGGCAGTTCAGCGTACGAGCGCACAGTGTTGCTAAGGCGTGCATAAGAGACACACGAGTGACAACTGCCGCCGCCAGAATTGGGTCTTGAAGGAAGGATTTACAAAGGACTGGCCGTGAAAGCGATTAACTAGCATTCACGGCACATTTAGTCATCATTTAACATCGTACATTAGAAAGAGGTAAGTGTTAGATCTTTTCAAAGCTTAAATCTATTTTAATAAGGAATGCCGAAAAATTTTGTTTTGTTCATTCGTTTTACAGAAGCCATTTAATTATTGTTGATCGTCAATTAAGTTGAGGTTTCTAGAACTAGACTAGTAAAAACATTTAATGGACTAGTTCGGTAAAATGCGCAGATGAGATGCGCAGTAATACTCAGAACACGGTTCATACTTCGATAGGTTAACTAATTAAGATTAGTTATTCAGAAGAGCTACTAAGGATTTAGTTAATATTCGGCAATTTATATAGTGTGAGAACATTGGTGGCAGAAATACACTAACGTATACATTTTCACAAACTATAACACAACTATACAGAAACTCTACAAACGTTACAAATCTCATGACATTTCACCGTGCAATCTTCTTTCTATAAAAACTCCACTCACCAACTTCACTTCACGCAGACAACTCTCACCGCACTGCGATACACGCCGAGCCCTGTAATGTCTTCTTTACTCTCATCTTATTGTGTTCTCAGCTTAGCACACGTCCAGCTGCACTTCACTGCCACTTGACACTGCACAATAATAATAACTACATAATAATCAATAATAATAATCAATACATAAAGATAAGTAATAATAATCATAAATAAGAATATATGAATGATAATCAAGTAATAATGATACCATGACTAACGAATAAACTACTGATATAACATTAATAATAATAACAACTATAATACTTAATTACAAAGAAGGACATAGTAATTTCACCTTAAATTTTATTAATATATTTATAACATAGCCACATTCAAGAAAACTTACATGTTAATTCTTATGAATTTGCTGCAGGCTTTGAGGAGAAGGGATCGAGATTGGTCGAACAGGCAAACTGTTCCAGTCCCTAATTGTGCGATGCGCGAATGAATATTTACCAAACGTCTGTTTTCTTTCTGATCATTCTTGTCTTGACTGTTTGATGCTTGTGAGTCCGCTCTGCCGAAAATTATGTAGTTTTCGCCTACATCGACTTGGAATTTCTTTCGCGACGCTCGAAGGCCAGTGTACACGTTTTATAGCTTGCGTAGAGAGCAACGTGACTTTAATCTTACCTCCTTTCGATGACTCCATACCCTTTATTCTTGTACCCACCTAACGAGTAATTTTGATGGCTTCTACGCTGGACTTTTTCAGATTTCTTTGTTGCAAAATTCTGTATGGGTCCCAACATACCGCGCCATATCTAAATATAGGTCGCACTCAGGGAACATATATGCAGTTGCTTGTGGGCTCTCACTGTCACTGTGTTTTCAGTATCCGCATAAGCAAATAATGGAAAGATTTCCGAGGCTTTCCCTACAACGGAAATTGACTTGATTTTCCCAGGCTCAATTTACTGTCTTAGCTGTATCCTACGTATTTGCAAGACCTGACTCTCGAGGTATAAACATTATTGTTTAGGTTTGTACACAGGAAGTTCATTGTAACTTCGAACCCCTACCGAACACGTGATGACTTGCTGCTCCTTGAACTGTTTATTTCCATGCCGTTTCGTTTCTGCCCGGAGATTATGTAATGTTAAGTCCTAAGTCTCGCTGCCAAAATATCTCTCGGTCTTATCTCCGAGGTTGGATATCCTATCTTGATTACGCAGTCATCTGGCAAAAGAGTCGTACATTTGGAAGCTAAATTTAGTCGGCGAATTCAGTTCACAACGGCCAGAAACATGAGTGGTCCGATTACACTTCCTTGTGGAATTCCTGACCGTGACGCTTCTCGAGGCTTGATAAATAACTACCGATGTCGAACTTCCTCTGTCTCCGCGATGTTTCGGGAAGTAGTATCGTTTATCGCACCGCTTCCAGGCTCTAGTGTCTATACGCCCGAATCTATTAATTTCTTTTAAGACGATCGTGTGCGAAAACATCAAAGCTTTGGAAAAATCTATTACTATCGCGTCAGACCTTTTCCTCTCATCGGAACTACGTCGGCCTAGGTCCGTGTAGAACGTCGAGAGCATGCTGCACGTTTCGCATGAAGAAACCATTTCTGAAACCTGTAGGCTGACCCTTGATCAAAGCCACTCCCGCCCTGCGCCATTCCTTTCCTGATCTGCTCTGCAAATTAGATGTTCCATAAGGTTTGGACATCTGACTGGACATGTAAGGGGCTTAGCGGCCCGTATAGTTACTAGATTATTGTCTTGTCAGCCACTTTAAGAAAGTGGTCTCACGGACGAGGCACGCGACCAGCTTCCAATCTTTGGTACGCACAGCGTTTGTTTATTGCATACATGAACGATCAACCTCATTAAATAAGGTAGAACTGCCTCTCCGCCTAATTTAATGAGTGCCGTGGAAAATACCAATCAGGAGGCACTCCTGATTTTCCTCTCTCATCTCAATTTTATTCTTTCTCAAAGTATTGTACATCAATATGAAAACTACACTATCTACCAGAGCGTTGGTATCGAATACTGTTAGATTTTTGCTTGAAAACCGAGCTGAAATATGCGTTAAAAGCTCTGCGCTTTTGTCCCTGGTCCGTTATGGGCGAATATATTAAATCCACGAACAACTGGATCTCGTCTTTACTTTCCCTTTCCCTTCTCGAACTATTTAAGAACAATACCGAGCCAAATTATTTACTTGCCCTCCGGCATCAAGATATGCGTTTTCAATGACAGTATCGCTCCTGCCATTTTTCTTTTTCCTTCCCTAAATACTTTTGAAGTATATTTCGAAATTAAGGCCATAATGATTTCACTACCCTAGCGGGTCTGTTGTTAAAGTGCTTCTCTGCGTTTTTCTTTTCAATCGCCTAACTCTTTGCATTATACATATTCGGGATCGCTGTTAACTTTTCTGACAAGGTTTACTGGGTACACAAATCCTGCTCAAGCACTCTTTCTAAAATTATTTTAAAACTCTCCACCCAATATGTTCATGCGATTCCTCCCTGCCTCTATTCTACACGAAACTCGCCATATTCGTTCTCTTAAGTAATTTTTGACAAACCTCTGTACATTCGCTTTCTTGCTATTCCTTCACGTAAAATACCGGTGGTAATACTTTTCTTTGAAATATTTAACTGTTAAATCGACTAAAACGGCTTTATGGTCACTTATGCCTTCTAAAGGAACGTCAACACGACAAGAATAAATCTTTCGGGTACTTAATTAGGGCAGATATCCGAGAATCGCATCCTGCCGTGTTCGGCCTAGTCTACTGTACCTGCTCTAATCGGCTGTCCCAGGACAAGTCGGATTGACTAGCTGTTGGACTTTCCCTCCGCCAAACAATTCCCTTCCAATTTGCGTCCTGGGGATTTAAGTCTCCGCAATAACTACCTCGGTTATTGGTTATATTTTTTGTTCCTCGTAGAGAGCGCCTAAATTCATAGCCTGCCTCCCCGGCGGACGATCCAGCAGGCAATAATTTCTAAGATACCTCCTGAACAGAAAATTTCATAGTTAAACTAATGATATCACCGATTACGCGAGGAGAAACATTGGTTTTGGGGGATTCACATCTTGTATATTATCACGCAAAATGGATTGTTGATACAGTCGGGCAAGAAACAAATATGTGGTAGTATACTTGCGATTAATTGTCTGCGCCAGA